AGTGAGATTTCAGGACAGTGATTAAATAGGACACAAAATTGGGAGCATGAGGATAGCTATTCATTTAAATATATTCTGGAAATATCTCTATTCTGATAAAAGAGTCTTGATCTGAAAATGCAGAACATTCCAACTACTGTGTCAAAGTTTTTCTATTTGAATTCCGAGAATCTGAGCTSTGTATGCTAAATTGGATGGGAGGGAGCCTGAGTCATAGTTTTCAAATTTGTGATTTGTTTAATCAAAACTGAAGATGAGAAAGGGGAAAACGAGTACTTAATGCGTGCATAAAATTKTTGTGWYAATGGTAGTTTATGGTGGTGATAGTTAATGAAAGTCTATTTTCACTCCTAAAGAAGGGATAGGTGTAATAAAGTGTATTTAAATCAATAAAAAGACATGTAATGCTATGATCAATAAAATTATGCTTTTAAGCATCTTGTTAGTACAATAGAGAGAGTGACCTTTAAAACCCACCCAAGTGCAAATAAAAACAAGGAACTCCTTAGACTGAGTAATTGTGCAAACAGGTAAAAGCAAATTATATCAGCTTAGTCAACCAATTTTGTTTGTAGCTTTCAATTAAAAAAGAATATAATTACAAAAACATCTCTATATATTTATACTGTTAGGAAAATATAATTTGTTTATATAAATTTAAAATTTACACCTCCTAATTTTCTATCAAATATAATACTTTTACAACTAAATTTTTTATATTAGTCTCACATTTGTTTATTGTAGAATCAAAGCACAGTAGATTGTTCCTATAATTATATACTTGAATATACAGATCATATAAGACTTTAAGGCTAAAGATACTTGTGGTTAATCAAAAAAAATTAAGCATTTTTGTGTTATGGACTATTTAACTGGTCTCATAAAATGTATGAAATAGTTATCAGAAAATTGCTTTTAAATGCATAAAGTGCATTGGATGATACAGGATAGCTACCATATTGAATTACAACAATAGAAGTTCTGATACAGTGATATATGTGTTTACCAATACATTAGCTGGAAAAAATACATTTAGAATATAAATAATATTAGATTTCATTTTATGAAGTCATTGTCTGAGACGGATGTTGTTGCTCAGCTTGAATAAAGACCACTAAACTGTGCTGGTCTTTGACAACATGTCATTYATTCATGCTATGCTGGAATTCCACTGGATTCTGATATTTTTGCTACAATTATAGAAGTGTTGAAATTTCCATTCATGATGATATTTTATTGCAAATATGATTTTTTTTAAAGTAAACAAGGCAAGTATAGGCTTCTCTAAACACCAGGACACCCCACCGCCCTGGTGTTCTCAGCAGCATTCCAAGGGGGAGAATTATTATTCAAGGTGGAGTTTCCAGGTATCTGAGGAAGCTTCAGGGCTGGGAAGGCTGTGGGTGCTTCAGCCATGCTGGTGCAGCCACTTTGATTGCCACCTTTTGTTCAGGGTGGTGAAGAGTGCAGGCCATGTTCAAGGTATTTGAATCTATAAACTATATATTTTTTTTTTGCTCCTGGTGGAAAAGTTGCATATGCTGTTGAGGCAACCATGTAGCCTTAATGATTTTCATACTGAAGGAATGCCAAAGTTCAGTTAAATCTTGGCGAAGTGAAGATACAATTTTTTCCCATCTGAGCTCACAGACTCAGTACTCGATCTACAGATCCCTCTGGGTGGATGGGTCTTGGGATACAAATACTAACTAGACAACTGAAATAGACAGAAGCAATAATTGCAGATACTAAAGCAATCTCAAGCTGAAAGAGGAAAAAAGAACCCTCATGGTTCTACTTGCTTATCTAACAGCCAGGCTTGGGATTCCATGGCTGTTTCTACCTGGCCATGGAGGAAGTCAGAGGGAAAGGTCTAACTTCTGTCATCCCAGGTCGCAGGATCAGCAGGGCCCTGTCACGAGATGACAACAAGGTCTGACCTTGACATGTACACCTGAGCAGCCAGGATGCTGTCTCACTGGGTCACAGACCAAAACTTCATGCAAGTCAATTCCCCAAGCTCCAGCTATAATCTAAGCAAGCTGCTCTCTGTTGAATGGCAGCCCTGGGATGAGCTCTCCTTGCCCCTGGAGTCATAGCATCTTCCTCTCCCCTCCTGAGTCTCACAYCCAYACTTCTCAGGCAGGAGATTGAGGACTTGAGGAGAGAAAACTSGAGAACACTGACTGACCCATGAATGGACACCACATAAGTGGGYTCCTGCATGCCTGTAGCCCACATGCATCTTCTCGTTCTCTGTCTTTCCCTCCCCTTCCCATTCCCCAGACTAACACTGAGTCCTCTTTCCCCACAAGATTAAAGCTCACCTACAAAGCAACCCCCAAATTGAAGGTTCCTTCAACTACAAATTTACCCGCTGCCTCTGTGAAGATAATCCAGTAACCTTCTTCTGGGACTTTCAGACCAACAGTAAGTATAAGTGTAGTCCAAGGAAGGTGTTATTCTCCCACCAGTGAGGAAGCCCAGGAACAAATGTTCAGCATAAGCTCTAGGGGGAGGAATGGAGGGGTGGCTGGGAAGGAGGACCCCAGGGGGAGTCCATGGGGACAAAGCCCAGGCTCTAAAATGGAAACACTGCATGAGAAARACTAAGAAGGGAAATCAATCTGCAAATGATTTGGGGAAAATGATCTTTGTCCTCATCTCTTCCAGGGACTGCAAAAATTGCAATAGTGGTTGACATAATTAATGAGAAAAATATCTGTGTTGAAGATATTTCAGTGGTTCCCAATGAAGCAAACCGATATTACACT